TCTTCCTGTTATTAAACAGAAGTACAGATAAAGCTGATAACGTTAATGTTGAGCGGAAGTTTTTTTTTTTTACTTGTTGATTTGTGAAGATATCAAGCATCAGCCACTGTTTTTAAAAAATATGCAGAAGTCTTTATATTTACTATATTTACACAGGAATAACTTTTATGTTTGCTTTCACAAGACATCCTGTGGATGTGCAGGGACACTTCCTCACTGGTGTTTCCTGGGGTTGTCAGGTGTTCTGGGTCTTTCAACATCAGACACCTTCACCCAGGTGACCGAGCCCCCCCCCCTTCACCTGGTGACTCTCCGTCTGTGGCATCAATAATTGATTTGATCGTCTTTCTATAACTGATCATGACTTTGCAGAGTGACCCACCTGAAAAACCCAGACATCCCACAACTAAACCATTGAACGCAGCCTGGATCATTAAGATTTGATCTGTCGGGACGTCTGCATAACTTACATGGTCGTTTCTGGCTTGTGACATCACATAAGGGGTCAAAGTTCACACTTTATAACCCACCATACACTTAAGATGAGGTGTTTGTACTTTGCCCTCACTGTAAATAAAGTTTTAAGGGAATTGTTTATTACCTTTAACAGGAGTGTTAAAGTTGCAGCAGACATATAAACATTAAACCAGTTATAACCTTAAAGTCTATAATATTCTGATTCACTGTGACTCTGCTGTTGTACATACATACCAACGTAACAACAGGGCGGGGGCTTGTTCTCTTGGACCGACTCACAGGCTCCATTAAAACACAAACACATCCTGACACGTCAACTATTCATGTTGCCGTCGGTTATAATTGTTTCAGGGAATGTCGGTGTGTCTCACCTGCATCTTCACACCTGTCAGATTGTGCTGTGACAAGGTATGAAGTGTGTTTGTCACGTATTTGATTTCTTTAACTGCAGGCTGTTCAAGTTGTGTTTTCATTTTTTGGTTTCCTCTTGCATGAAGCCCTGTGTGTACGGACTTTTATTTTGGAAATCCATGCAACAGTGTGAGCTTTACATGGACAGATGACAATAATATGAGCGTCTTCGTCAGGGAGAGTTTTGTGTCTTGTCGTCCTTTTGCATCTCTTTTCGGTTGTTTGTGTGTGTGTGTTTAGTATCTCTTTGTGGTTGTTTGTGAATCTTTGATCATCATTTGTCTCTTTGTAGCTGTTAGTAGTCATCTCATCAGGCCTGTACCCTGTCGGTCTACTCATGTTCTTTGTTCTACAGTTTAGTGAGCAGCAGAAAATCCTGGCTGCTCTGTACTTTAGAATAAAAGTGTCACTCATTTGTCATTCAACTGCGAAAAATACCGTGCAAAGAGAGAGAGTATAAAACTGACAAAATGTAAAATCATTAAGACAGTAACATAAAGCATAGATTATTGTGTAAATTTGATGACTCACAAAATCCCTTTGAAACAGCAAAAGAAGAAAGATCAGAGACGAACAACAAAAACTAACATGAAGACTGAAGCTACAATGATGAAACTAAAGTTAAAGTTCAGTTGATGAGTCGCTGTTTTTATGTTTAATTTCCCTCTCTCCTGCCTGGATTCAGTGTTCAGTGTTAGGAAGTCATGTTTTAGTTTCAGACACAGTTTCTGTCCATTACAGGTGTGAGTGTTAAACACTGAGGTCGTCCTGTGTCATCAGAAAACTAAATCCTTTAAAACACGTCCGTACTGAGGACGTGGAAACATAAGGAGAATTTTTATTGTTAAAATTTAGTTAGCTTTGATTAACTGGTGAAACACTTTAGACTTCCTGCAGTTTGTGTGCTTCCTCTTTTTGCCCACTAGATGCTGCTGTTTACCCGCTCTGATCGTTCCAGTCCGCAGAAACAGCACTGAGCTTTAGTTCAACTGCTCAGATGAAACCAGGTTTCTAAGCAGCTCTGGAGTCACAATGTAAAAATTAAATATATGTACACTGCGTAAAACGCCTGGTAATATAATAAACCCTCAGATAAAGTATAGTTGATGCTTTTCTTCGTCATGAATGAGAATAAACTGAATATCTTTTGGTTTTAGAGGCTTGATCAGACAAAACAAGACACTTGATTGTGTCGCTCTGGGGAATTATAATTTAAGCTTTTTTCACAATGTTCTGAATATTTCATGGAACAAACGATTAATCAAGAAAATAATACTTCGATGCCGCAATATTTTTGCTGTTTCCACCATTTTTTTCCTAATGAATAAGTAAAAATCTATAAATGAATATAAAACAAACCTTTATACAATTAAATACAGTACACACAGCCATGAAACACATGACTGAGGTAGAATAAATAACTAGAAATATATAATGCACCATTTTCATGTTACCTAATTTTCCATAACATTATATTCCTGTTTCACAATACAGTGTGATCCTATACATAATATAAATATTATTAATATAATCTTTTTTTATCTTAAAGAAAGATACCAACGGTGAATTAGAAGATATTTTCTGTTTTATCTCTGAAGGAAGAAGAAGATGGAGGCGGCGGAGGAGAGAGGAGACGTCAACGTGGCGTCCAACATCACAGAGGAAGAAACTCCTCCCACGGTGAGGCGGCATGAAAACCACTCTGTTACTGTACAGGTGACATTTCTTCAGTTCAGTTACATCATAACTTTACCTTCAGGTGTGTTTACAGCTGCAAACCCTGGAGCAAACTTGGTGTTAAGATACTGATCAAGCACATGAGGTTTGATTCATTGCTTCATCGGGACCCAAATCTTAAACGCCAGTAAAACGTTTCAGCTGCTGGCCTCTGCGAAATATTGATAAGAAACTAAACGATCAATGAAAGAGCAGCATTACATCCTCTTCTAGTCACAGACTGCAGCTGAGTCGTGTCATTACAAACTCATTATTCCTCCTGTCCATCAGCGTCATTGACTGGCTCAGCAATCAACGATATCAAACAGACATGTGGTTGATTTATTTGTGCTTTACAGTTCCTCCACGCAGAGGCACACGTTACGCAACCAGTTAAATAAAAGAATAGAAACGGCGTGCGGCAGCAAACGAACGGCCTCTACAATGTTATCAGCGGTCGTCACGACAACAAAAACAAAGCGGAGTGATAAACGGTGACAGTGAGTGGATGAAACGGATGAGAAAGTGTTTTTTGTGTGTGTGATAAGACGGCCGTTGTTGTGGTTAATAGTGATGGAGTGAGGGCAGGTAACAGGAGCGGTCACATTGCGGTGATGTCAGCAGGTGACTCACCTGTGTGCAGAGCAGCGATAAAGAGTAAAGCAGCTGATGGGAAATACTTTTATCTTAAGTGTTGATCCATAAGAAGAAGAAACCATCTCAGTGTAGTTTTACATCTCCTCTCTCAGGCTTCTCTCTGGAGCTCTAGTAACAAGAGGTCAGTGAGCCAATCAGAAGAGAGGAGGCTCTGATCCTCTCTTCTGATTGGCTGACTGTTTTCTGAGTGATCCAATAAAAATAAAGCAGATTTCAGGTAAAAACACTCAGAGAAACCAAATCCTGCAAGGTTTGGATGGTGGGTCCAGGTGGGCGGGGCTTGGTGACTGCTTTGTTGTGACATCACAAAGTTCCAGAAGTCCTGACGGCTGGTTTTAAGGCTCAGTTTCTGAATACAGGCTGTGTGCATTTCTCTGTGGACTGAGGCTTTGATACTTTCACAGTATTAATATAGAAGCTAGAGCTGATCTATAATCACACTACACATGGACAGAGACCTTTACACTGGAGGAGCTTTAAAAGAAACAGTTACTGCAGGTTCATTAAAGAGTTTTATCTGGACTGGCCCTTTAAGAGCTCATTGAAGAAACCAATGTCTCTCCTCCCTGTCACACACCAGCTCCTAACCTTTGGAAAGAGCAAAGGTGTGTGTGTGTGTGTGTGTGTGTGTGTGTGTGTGTGTGTGTGTGAGTGTGTGTGTGTGTGAGGCTCGTTTTGCGTCACTACATGCCTCGCTGTCTCTTCAATGCGACACAACAACTTTGAGCAAAATTCATCCACAGGTGTGTGTGTGTGTGTGTGTTTATACTTGTATGTTTGTGAGGACCACAGAGAGGAAAGTGGTCCTCACTTAGCGACAGACATTCAATCAGCTGTTTGAAGGTAAAGCTTTGAATTAGGGTTCAGGTTCAGGGTCAGACCTTTAGCTGTGATAGCTAAAGTTAAGCTCAGAGTCCTGGGATTACATTATGTCAATGAAGGTCCTCACAACGATAGAAGCACAAACGTGTGTGTGTGTGTGTGTCATTACCTCTCATCTGCATCAGGTGACTATTTCCTGTCTTGAGTGCTCCAGTGACCCCTGACCTCTTTTTCCTGCCGCCAATCACAACAGGGAGCCATCATCTCTGTGGCAACCTCACAACCTTTTGATCTGGGCTCTGATTGGCCGCTGCAGGCTCCGGTTCCCACAGCGATCCCTCCATGTGTTGTCACGGTTGCTTTGACTCACGACCTTTGACCTCTTTGCCGTCGGTTACTGGTGATGTTGCTCTTCTTGGATGCTGTGGCTCGTGCTGCATTCGAGAGCAGCTGGGAATTATGGAATAATGGGGCTTCTGTAGATATCATAAAGTTGTTATTTCCTTTTGCTCTTTCCTGAGAAATAACTACTGTAAGGGGACAAATACATATTATAGATAACTCTCCGGTCACAAGCTTCTCTGATCAAGACGATGACAGATGCTGCAGATGTGAAAAAGTAGAAAATATGTGGTGAGAAGTTGTGTTGAACTGTCAGGACATAAGAGATTGTGGTTTCACCTGGCTATGACGCGGGTTGTAGAATATTTTTATGTGTCGGTCCAGTCGTCTCGAAAGCTGATTGGACGTTGTGTCACGTGTATTTATTTCTGTGTCTTCTTTTTGCTTTTTTCTTCACAGGAAACAAACAGTAACTGCAACCACACTGATGCCGCCTCCTGTCCAGCTGAGGCCACACCTGCGGTCACCATGGAAACGGGCCAGAGCAATGGTAAAATAGTGAGTTAGGTTTTCTAATGGGATTTTATTTTAGTTAATGTCAGTGTTGACCTTTGACCCCCTTCTCCAGATGTTCCGGTGAAACCAGGGGGTGGACCTGTGGTCGTTCAAGGCAACGGCAAGAACACGGCCAGCGAGAAGCTGCAGAGAGTCCGCAAGTGGAGCATCACTGCGTATAAAGTGAGAGGAATCGAACAGGGCTCAGATAATCAATAAATATCAGTGTGATCGGCAGTAACTCTCTCTCTCTCTCTCTCTCTCTCTCTCTCTCTCTCTCTCTCTCTCTGTGCAGTGTACCAGGCAGGCTCTGTCAGAGAAGCTCGGCCGTGGATCTCGGACGGTGGACCTGGAGCTGGAGCCTCGGCTCGAGCTGCTCAAAGACGACCGACAGCGCTACGATCACATGACCAAGCTGGCTCAGACGCTGGCCAATCAGCTCGCTCAGTTCACAGTGACACAGAAGACCCTGGGGGACGCCTTCACCGAGCTCAGCCTCAAAACGCCGACGCTGCATGTGAGTCAGTGTTAACACAGCTGCTACTGCGGCAACTATCACAGCACATCTGCACTTTCCTTAAAAAGGCCTCCAGGTGTTTAAGAGACTATAATTTGTTTTACAAAGATCTTACATGATTCTTCTATCCTGCTACAGGCCGTGATGTCAGATATGAACTGTTTCAGAACAAATAAAACTCCCAGAGTACTGTTGTTCCTGACCTCTGATCTTATATAAAATGTGTGGATCTTAAATTAATCATTCATTTTTTTTTTGCAGTTAATCCATCCATCCACTTCCTGCTCCTCATCCAGGTCATGTTTAAAGATGAGATTAGGAAATATTTTACTTTACAGCTGACAGAGGTGTCAATTAATTCATGCACTTGAATTCATCTCTTATCATCCTGCTGGCTTTGTGGTAAACACAGAGGAAACCCTGTGTTATTAACTGCCACTGCTAATGCTAATGCTAACACTGCTATTAAAATCCTTGTAAATGTCAGTGCTACTGATTCTGCTGCTTCTGAGGTGAGGCCTTATGAGGTGATCAGAACCAGCAAACACACTACAGCAAGAATAATATTAATCTCCTTTTATCGATCATTGAGTTGCTCTAAAATCTCTCAATCACAGTGGAAAACTCAATTAATCATCAACCAAGTTTTCTTAATATCACGCCCAAACCACATCACAATAAACTCCTCGTTGACTCTTGGGCTCCACTGTGATTGGTTGTTTTTGTGGTTGGCTCACATTACTGGTCTGATAAAACTCCAATGTGTGTAACACGTAAACCAGGTGGAGTTCGGTGTGAACGCGGAGGCTCAGAAGTTTCTGTCTAAGAGCGGCGAGACTCTGACGGCGGCCATTAATTCCTTCACGTCCGACATGAACACTCTGGTCAACAAAACCATCGAGGACACCATGATCAACGCCAAGCAGTACGAGGCTGCCAGGTGGGTGAAACACACGCCAAGGACATGTATGTAGACACCACGACACAACAGACATCCAACAGAAATTCAAGAACTGATTCGTAAAATGTTGAATGTGTAGAAGAAAAACGGACCAATTAAGGTATAAAAACATTTCCCCGCCTGTCAGGATTGAGTATGACGCGTACCGGGTCGACCTGGAGGAGCTGAACCTGGGGCCCCGGGACACCGTCACCCTGCCCAAACTGGAGCAGGCCCAGAAGGACTTCCAGAGCCAGAGGGAGAGGTACCAGATGATCAGAGACGACCTGTCCGTCAAAGTCAAGCTGCTGGAGGAGAACAAGGTGAGAGGGACGGAGGGAGGGATCGGAGTTCTGGGTTCAGGACTCGCAGGGACGTGACAAATCCTTAATGTTCTTTCTCCGCAGGTCAAAGTCCTTCATAACCAGCTGTGGCTGTTCCACGGCGCCGTAGCAGCTCACAGTTTATCATGTCACCATTTCCTCGAGCAGAACATACGGCAGGTCGGCGAACACCTCAGCGACCCCAGCATGGACGCCCCCTCCTGGCTGGAGGAAAGTTGACCCAACAAAACGACAACAAAAACTCACCGTGCGGCAGGTTGACAGACGTGGGTTCGGAGGGGGTTTCAGGATCAGCGGACACTATAGTGGGACAAATTTTGGGAGACGCTTGATTTGGGAATTGTGGACTATAAATGTTCAAAGGTAGTTTATTTATACCAAAGTGGAACTTGGGTACTTGAGAGTTCGCCATAGAGTGGGGTGTTAGATACCAGGAAGTTGAGTGGGTTTCCTGAGTGCTGGGGTGATCAGGCAGATCTGAAACTCTAAGATTCATCTCTTTCCAGTTCTCAAAATGTTGTAGAGTCACATAAAAGTCTTGGAAAGTTTTGAAAATAATGCTGAGCATTCTGAAATTATATTTAGGACAAAAGGATCTCAACAATTCTCTCTTCCTGTGTCACAGATATACAGTACTTGTCACTTCTGACCTGTTTAACAAGCACACACACATATACATACAGTATGTGCCCCTCCTGGTTTTTCCTTGCCTCTGTCTGAGTGTGTTGGGGAGTAAATCCATCTAATCCTCTGTGAGGTATTAAGCCTTTTCTTTGAACTTTAAAAATCCTCAGCCGCTGCAGTCAGAAACTCACAGCCTCAACACTTCACTGCTGGAAAACAGCCTCGCTGTCTGCATCAGCTACAGTCGGGTTCCTATAGCCAGTTCTGTTTTGAATCCAGGTCCAGGTTGATAAAATACCTGGATCCTCAAACTTTCTGATCTCTTATTGAATCTTTTGTCTTTGCTTGTTCTTTTTTTTTTTTTTATCTGCAAAGAAAACAGAAAACGTTCAGGCAGCAGCTTCTCATTTTCAGCTGCCGCTGACTGTCACTTTCAGCTAATTAACGTTTATGCCAGAAGTTATTTGCTAAAAGGCTAAAATGAAACTGTTCTCTGAATAATGTGTTTGTTTTTTGGCCTAGGATTATTGGTGAGGAGAAAGAGGCATGTCTCAGTATCTCCACTCTACTACTGCAAGTGTTTTTGTAGTTCAAAAAGCTGCAGCACAACAACAACAACAACAACAACAACAGCAACCCTTGACTTTTAATTTTTTTGAAAAACTCAACCCAAATGGATTCAATAAGGGATCTGAAAGGATTCAGATTTGGTAGACGGATTTTAAACTGGATTCAGATTTGATTAAATGCTACCGAACCGCCACCGTAGCACAAGCTTTTCTGCATGTTTTGAAAAGATTCGGACAGTTAAAAGTAGTAACTTAGCAGCCACACATTTGTGTCTGGTTGGCTGCTGGTCATTTCCATCTCTGGTTTGTGTCGCATGGCGTTCAGGATCCTGTGGTAACCAGTAGTTTGCGACGAGCCAAAAACTTGCTGCCGTACATTAACGATGTTGTCTCGTTCATTGGTAAACAAAGGTTGGTTGAAGCCAATCTGTCAGTCAGTCTCAGATTTAGTTTAAGAAACACTTGTCTCTTTGGCTGCTGGTCATTTGCCTTTGTGGATTACACAGCAGACCAATACTTTAATACCAACCAAAAATATCGCTGTACGCTGACGATGTTGCCTTGTATGTTGGTGGAGGAAGGCTGGTTGTAGCCAACATTTTGAATCATTTTTGAATGATAATAGCCTTCAAATACCTACATTTATTCAGCTTAGTTTGAAATGCTGAATAAATATGCTGCCTTTTTTTCTATTCAAGAACAAAGATTCACTCTCTGTCCTTCCTTCTATCCAGTCGGTGGACAAAATAACAGAAACACCTCAACAATTTGAATCAATCTAATGTAACAGTTCTGCTTTTGTTCAGTCTGTTCAAAGAGGTTTTTAATAGAAGTTTGTGCAAATTTTTGAGGCAATATTGAATTAGCTTGCATCATAATGTAAAGTGTTACGGTTATTTTATCCACCTACTGTATTTTTCTCGCACTCTTTGCACTTAATCCAAAGCATAATCTGCCTTAGACATTTCTCATGACACTATGTCATGAAACGTTCAGTGAATTGACTCTTTTTGAACTGTTTTGTTGTATGAATGTGTTTTTGTTTGTGTCGCTGTAGCTCAGGCCTGACAACAACAACTATGCAGTGAGTGTGGATGCTTTCGTGCAATAACGTCCCGTAAACCGTCTTGCCTTAAAAAAGGATATTTACACTGCCAGTTAACGCCTTGTTTCCTTGTGTCCTTTAAAACTGTCCCACCTGTATTAAATTTAGCCTTAAAGGGAAATTCCACTCAATTTAAAAATGAAAAACTGTTGTTTCTGTATTAAAAGCCCAACAGTAAATCTGGGGCCAACAAGGCCTCCAATTGATCAACTCGATCGAACAAGATCTCCAAATATTAAATTCAAATTATTTATTGTTAAATCAAGAAGAAAAAAAAAAAAGTTAAAGAGGAAATTTGCAAATTTAGATTTTAGAAAGCTAGCAAGAAGGTTGGTTTAAAATTAGCGTAGCATTTTCTTTAACTCAAGGGTCAATATCCAGTACTGTGAGTAAGCAAACTGTGGAAGTTGCAAGATGTGATTGAAAGCCCTGGGGAAAAATCTAGTAAGTGGACCTTAAACCTTAAATGTTTGTGTTTCCGAGATTATGATGTTTTTTTTTTCTTATTTTATTTGTAATCACTAATAATTATCTTATCATCAACAGAAAACAAAATGAGAAATACATTTTAACCCATTATTATACATGTTTTACACCATTTATATTGGGTTTTTTTTAAATGAGGGCTTCTTCCTTCACTGTTATGTACTTTTTTCTGCTGTAACGAAAAAGCAAAAGTAAGTTATGTGCTTCCAGATTATTCTTACCTGTGTTCAGATTAGAGTGAGGAAATGATTAAATTTCCCACCTTAATATGAGATTAACTACATTCTTCCTGCATTATTTTCAATTTACCAGACTTTTACATAGTTTTACAAAAACCCAAACATAATTTAAATCATTATAACCTCTGATCTGAAACAGCAGAGCGATCTCAGCAGCTAACTGTTGATAAAAAAGTTTGGGACTTTTGGCAAGGTAATAAATGTTTTGGGGGTTTTCCAACAACTGCAGTTTTTGTTGTTCCCTGGTTTTCTTCTAAAATCCAGTCTGAGGTGGACTGCTGACCCTAGATCAGTCTCAGCTGTAGTCCATATATACAAGACCAGATATGAAGAGCTAAAGGGTAAAGAGGAATTTAGCTTTTTCATTTGGGATGTAAATGCCAAAACAAGGACCAAAATGTTTATAAGTAATAAATTGTTTTAATCTTGTTGAAAATGTTTGTATGACAAAAAACAGCCAAATAAATCTATTGAGAGCGAAAACATAAACTATGTTATAGATATGAGTTTTGTTGAATAAAAAGTTGTTTCAGTTTTGACTTTGAATCTTTGAATCTCTTGAACAGGAACAACGTGTCACCATAAGCAATAAACTGAGATAACTGTACTAATTAACGGTTTTAAGTGCTTTAGGTACTTTCCACCTGGTTTTCACTTTCACTTCAACTCGTTTTCACTCTCTCACAATCTGAGAAGTTTCTTTGGCAGGATCTCAAGGTGACTCTTCTTGTTGTCCAGAATTTTCCAAATTATTTTCTTGGAAAATTCCTGGAGAGATTATGCAATTTTGTTTGTCATTATTTATTTACAGTTCACAAAAATGTAGAGAGAATACAGTTTCCAGTAATTAATGAATAGTTAAAAGAACATTAACTGTTTATAAACTAAAACTATCTAACTCCCAATAACAGTCTCACAACTATTTCACTTGTAATTAAACCAAATTACAAAGAGTTTTCCAGAAACTTTAGTGGAAAATTATTAGGAAATTGATTTTACATGATGTAAACATTGCTTGCAGAATATTCAGGGAATAATGATATAATAGTAATTTTCTGGGAAAGTAAGACTGTGTTCATTGTAAAAACATGTGCCAAACATTTGACATTTAACTTTTATGTTATTTAAATGTTCAATTTTCTGCGGCTGCCAGAGAGATTTGGTGACTTTATTTCCAGGTCAAGCAAATTTCATCTCTGCAAAACGTAATCAACAAATTAATTATGATGTATTATTATAGGTTAAGATAAAACTTTATTGATCCCAGGGTGAAGTTCACAAGCTATCCATCAGTATGTGAAGTTGGAAATACTCTTGTACAGGACTTTAACTTGTATTTGTACACAGTGATATTAGTATCTTTACTTATGTAAAAGAGCTGAGTACTTCTTCCACCATGGACAAAACATGAAAACATGAAGAAGTGTATTATTTTAGTGTTTTTCCAGGTGTAAATTCACTACATATTCACAACACATTCAGGATTAGTATGCAGCCTGTGTGTTTCTGTCTTTAAATGGAGGAGCGGATCAGTGGAGTGAATGTAGAATAAGTCTCTGGTCTGTTTGTGGTTCTGTTGCTCTGATTGCTCTAAAGAGAGGCAATTATTCACCTGGCAACACGGACACACAAATTCTACTGCTGCATCCAGGCTCATTTTCCCAAACATTTCAACAGCAGAAAAGAGTTTCTCACAACAGAGACGCTTCCTTGTGGTTCAGGACTTTTTAAAAAAAAAAATAATGGTTCATCTTAGGACAGAAACTGGATCAGGTGTTGATTAACGTGTTGTCTGGACTGTGTAAACTCTCAGTACAGACTGTATTAAAGGTCATTAAAGGTCGAGATCAGCTGTGCTTTGTGTATAGTGCTAATTAGCAAATGTTAGCATGCTAACACTCTTAACAAAATTAAATGGTAAATATTACACTTGCTAAACTTGTTAGCGTTGTTATTGTACGTATGTTAGCATGCTAACACTCTAAACTAAGATGGTGAACATTACACCTGCTAAACATTAGCATGTTAGCATTTAGTCCAAAGCTGCTAGCATGTTGATTCTTACAGAGATGTCTGGTGTCTGTCTGAATGGTTTATGTTGATTGATTTTAATTTGTTTATTGATGATGTTTCAGTTATGTTTTCAAGAAATGTGCTGACATGAAATGATAACCGTGTGTGTGTGTGTGTGTGTGTGTGTGTGTGTGTGTGTGTGTGTGTGTGTGTGTGTGTGTAGGAGGAGGAGGGAAGCCTGTTTTTTGCCAAGGGCGGGGCTGGTAGAGCTTATCATTGCCAGACACACACACACACACACACACACACACACACACAAACACACACACACACACACATACACACACACACACACACACACACACACAGTTAGAGTTATAGTTAGGATAGGAAATTAATGCATGTCAATGTAATGTGCTCTACATGATGACTGTGTGTGTGTGTGTGTG